AGATTGAAAGGCAACTCTCACGTGTACATTGTTGTTGGAATGCTACATCAGAACTGCTCATCTCAGTAATAGTCACTGCTGCAATTATGCTGCCGAATTTTTCAGAGCAATTAATCATCTTCTTCTTTGTTACTCGAGGACGAGCAACATTTTGAGTTTGAAGTGTGATAACTCTCCCAAATGAGAGTTAATTTAGTATTTTTATGATGAATTTGTTGCATAAATTCCATATAAGTTGACCTCTTTGCATGATAATTGAGCTAATTATTGTATGTTCATGATTAAGTGCTTTGAGATGACTACGTATGGAAAATAAGACAATATTCCTTGATTTTGTATAAGAAAAGATGACTTGTTGAGTGTTTGACTTTGTAGGAAAAATTGACGTAGTAATGCTGTAGCAAAGGAGCTGAAGAATTGATGACATAGCAATCGCTACAGCGTGACAGCATGGACAAAGGGACAACTGAACTTTTGAAATTCAAAAGTTAGTTATTCCTCAACAATACACCAGCAAGCAAAGGACGTTTCTGAAGATATAATCTTGTCCCAAAATCCCAAGGAACAAGGATAACAACTTCACACTCGGTCAACAACAACATTGGCACAAGGAATCCAAGAAGATCAAGATCTTATCCAAGCAAGTGCCAACAGCCCAAGAATCTAGGGATACGATAAGGCTGCAGCAACAAGATTCATAGCTTTTCACCCCTAACCCCAAAGCCCAATTTTCCAACCATTTTCCTATTTAAAGAAGAGTTCCCCCACAAATTAAAGCATGGTTTTGGAGAGAGTTCAGAGAGGTTCAAGGTTTGAGAAGTCAGAAGCAAGTGGGAACGTTTTAGAGAGAGAAAGTAAGGTTCTTGGAGAGGGAAGAGCTGCTGGAGCAAGGCAGTGACGACGTTTTCCTACAGCATTCGTTTTCATCTTCTTTTCTATTTTTCAATGAGTTCTTCCTTTCTTTTCTCTGTTTTATTTAATTCCATTATGAGCTAATTTGCTCTATAGGTTAGATGATAAAGTACCTAAACCCGTTAGAAAAGAAGGGACAATCTAGGAGAAAAAAATGATATAATTATATATATATATAATATGAATAATATAATATATATATGATATGAAGATCCCATTCCTAAAAATGCTATGAGGTGTTTGGAAATGGTTGTAACATTGAGATGTATGCCTAAACTTTTTTTATGTTAATGTTTAATTAGTTATTCAACGAGTTTGCTTAATCTCATTCATGTGTGCATGTCGAGGGATACATATGTGATATTGAGGAGGTTGGGCCGAGAGGTTTCTGAATCCAGACCCTTGTTGAATTGTGTGGATTAATTAGGTTAATTATAACTTGATTAAGTTGTGGGTAGAGAGATCATTCACACCACATAACCTTGAACTTGAACTTGAACAATTCAGTGATTAGTTTGGCCATAGAGATGTGGGAATTAGTTATTGGGTATATATGTTAGGTTGGTCAAAAGTCCCAGCATACCTTAGTGTTCGGTTACTAGTTAAACATTGATATAGCACTGTTAAAGCATCGTTTTAGTATTGCTGTATCAGGGAAATTGAACCTGACCTATATCTCATCCATCATCTTAATACCTTTAATTTTAGTTTACTGCTTTCTTAATTTTAATTGTCTTTTATTTTACCAATCCAATCATCACAATTAATCATTTCACCTACTTTTTTCACCTAAATAATCATTACTTGACACTTATCTCCGTGGGAATGATACTTGGACTCACACACCCCTTTATTGCTTGTGACACGTGCACTTGCGTATTTGTGTGGAAGATTTAATTGATTACAAATTGCACAACAGGTATTTGTTTGCATGCGTTCTTTGTCTAAGTTGAATGTTATTAACAGTTTGGTTTTATTTGGTGTTAGGAAAAGAAGCCACTGCAACTTTTTTACATGGGTGGATTATGCTACATCTGATACCATGGAGCTGGAAGATTGGAGAATTAATATGCCGGAGTTGAATATAGCTGAAATAGAATTCAAGTTGAACTTTGTGGACATGAAGCTTAATGATGAACTGCAGCTGGAGGTGAATGACCAGAAAAAGAAGATTAATGAGCACCATAAAAAGATTAATGAACTATCAATGAAGATGCATACAGAGTTTGAAAGGGTGGAGAAGGAAATTAAGCATGTGTGTAGGTGTGCTAGGGTGTTTGCTAGATCCATTATTGTTGTGTTTGTAATATGTATATATCTTGCAAGTAGGCTGGAGTGAAATAAAAAAATGTGGTTTTGTTGAGATTTGCTTGTGTATGTACCATTACATGTTGTAATAATTTTGGAATGTAAAGATTTGTAATGGAAGGACCAGTGTTGAAATATAATGAAATGGTGTTCATGCAATGTATATAAAATGGCTTATGTATTTGAAGTTATGTCTGTTGGCACAAAGTGTTGTATAAACTTGATGGAGATAAACAAAATTGGAATCACTGTATGAACACTAAACTAAGAATGTGATGGTGTGATTTATGCAGAAGTTAATTCTATAAGTCATGACTGAAATCAGCAAGTACATGGGGAACTTTAACAGGGACCAAAAAGGACCCCGATAAAATTGTTAGGGACCATTATGGATCTATGTGTTAGTAAACAAGGACTAAAAAGGTCATCGATAAAAAATGTTGAGGACTAATAAAGGAACTGAATTACTGATGGATGATAAGTGCAGTGAAGCTACACATGACCCTAAAATGGACACAACAAACACAAGAAAAATACCAATGTTGACAGAAACCAGAAACTGTATCAATAGAAGTAATAATGACAGATGGTGTGGACCAAAATTTAAAAATTGCACATTGAATACAGTAATGACAGCAAAGACGGATAGTAACCAAACATTTCGCATTCATTTCATCACATCCTAGTTACAAGTACTAACCATGTTGGACAACATGCCACAGTCACACAAAAAAATAACACTAACACATTTCCGTGAAGGCCAATACATATATATTCCAAAGAAGCATAATGTTCCTACTAACTATGGCCATAACCAGAGGCAATACAAAAAATGGCCTAATGACATATTTCAACAGGGCCAATACCGAAGTATTTTCAAAAAAAATATCCTAATTATAATTCCAATCAATTCCTATATCAGAGGCATCCAAAAAATGGCCTAATGTCATTGATTACACAGTATCCCAATCAATTCTGCGGGGTTGGTCTTGGTGGCTTTAACCTGGAGTAGACATAAAGTTTGTGAATCTGGCCCTGGTGCCACTACTTGCTGCATTGTCATGTTCGGATGAATGACCACCATCCTCTGCACTCTCTTGCTCATGATTCACCCCATCACCATGTGAAATCTCCTCATCCGAATTAGCCCCATGATCATGTGAAATCTCATGCTCCGAATTCACCCCATCATCATCATGTGCATAGTCCTTATTATATGTGGAATTAACCACATTATCCTCTGCACTATCATGTTCAGGTGAACCAAACTGAGGAATTGAAATGCAATCTTCAAAATACACATGTATCTCATTGCCATTACCTAAAGTAGCCTCACACATGGCATAACATCATAATCGGTACTAAGTGGTCTGAGGCCTTGTTCCAAATCGAGTTCACCAGGCTTTAGCCACATCATCTTTTTGCATTTTTCATACCCAAATTGCTTAAACAGAGTGTCAAGGTCACGCAAATTGCAGTAATCAATATCCATCTCAGGCAGTGAGTCTACTCTCTTATTTACATAGGTAAGCACTCCATCTTCATCTCTTATTAAAACACCACCATGATGATAAACAATCACTATATATTCAGACATCTATACAAACCAAAAAAAAGGTAGCTTTCATTAATCCAATGACTACTTTAGAAATGGGTACTTACTCATAAAACAAAGGCAAGACATCTGGACACCTCAAACAATAAAAAATAATAAACAAACAGACAAATGGAACATGCGTTTTTTTTTTCAACACTTTGCATGTGATTTTTAATTGTTCATGGGTCAACCATGGACCACTTTACTTACACAGGGACCACGCCACACCCGGTAGACATTTGTTTACTCTAAACCCTAAAGTGAACATGGATCGCATTGTCCACTCAGCATGCATAAAAAAAAAAACACCCATTTAATAACAGAAACTCCATGGGGACCACAGACAACAAATAGCAACTAGAATAAAAAAGTGTTCCAAAATAGATTAGTGTCTTACCTTTTAGTACGAAACGATGAGCCTCGCACCAAACCAAAGGTATTTCTTCCTCCACTTCCCTCCGATTGTTGAACCACTGTAGACTCAAAACGCAGGGATATGTTGACAGAACGATCTTCTTCCTTCTCAACAATAGAGCGTCGAACTTTCAAGAGTGAGAAATGGTAAAGTAAACAACGGTTAGGTGAGGGGCACTTTTGGGTTTCTCATTGTTATTCTGAGCAACGTGGACGCAGGTTAGGTTACGACGTCATATTTCCTCCAACGTGGCAGTTGAGCATGGCCATTAACGTTACACATCAGCTCCGTCAGTGACGCCGTCTGTTTGGGACTAATAGAAGGATTAACGTGGGATCTATTTTTCTTTGTTGGGGACTTCCAAACTAATTTATTTTTGTTAGGGACTAGAATGAGTTTTGTCAGGAGCCAAAATGAGTATTTACTCATAATTTTAATTAAAAAAATATTTTTTTGAGAGTTTTAAAGAAAGATTACATGTCGCATCATTATCGACGTCTTCGAATCAATAAGTGAAATTCGAACTCACGCATTATGGAATATGAGCCTAATTTTTAATTAACTGTGTCCACCGTCGTAAGTAACTTTTTTTTTTCTTGTTGCAAAACATCACATGTATTTTCCATTTTTATACGCATGGCTGAAACCCTATTTTGATAAATGAATTTAAAAAATATTATTTTTGGTCAAAGAACCATTATTGGAGTGTGCTCAAGGCCATTCAAATGAGCATGTACTAATTTTGCCATTCACCTTCAAAACATTGTCCTCGTGACCTCATTCTATATCTACCTCCTGCTCTTTCTCTTTGGAAGAAGGATAGTTCGTAGAACACAGAGATATTATTCAGAATCAACTTAGAAATCCCATGGAACAATCCTCACACGAGATCACATCCCCTCTCCGTAAGCATCTCATTTTTTCAATTATTTCATTTCTATATATACTTATAATTAACCCAATATTAATTAATCTATGGTTCTTTTTTCTTTTTTCTTCTTTTTTCATTAATTTGTTATCTTAAACAAACCTCATATATATATATATATATATATATATATATATATATATATATATATATGTAGTACCCAACAAGGAGAAGAAAGAGGAAAAAGATGAAGATGCCAACATCAACCAACCATCCTCAAGTGAAGAAGAACATGTGAATAATGATGAAAACTCGCCCATTAAACAAGTGGCTCTAACGGTTCCAACAACAGATGACCCTTCTCTTCCGGTTCTAACATTCCGAATGTGGGTGTTAGGAACCCTTTCATGTGTTCTCCTATCATTCCTCAACCAGTTTTTTTGGTATCGAACAGAGCCTCTAACAATTACAGCCATATCAGCTCAAATTGCGGTTGTGCCATTGGGTCAACTCATGGCTTCAAAAATCACCAAACGTTCCTTCTTCAGAGGAACACGTTGGGAATTCACCTTGAACCCTGGTCCCTTCAATGTCAAAGAGCATGTTCTCATTACTATCTTTGCCAATTCCGGTGCTGGCACTGTCTATGCCATTCACATTGTTACCGCTGTCAAAGTCTTTTACCGCCAACATATCTCCTTTTTTGTTTCTTTTCTTGTTGTCATCACCACTCAGGTACTGTACGAGGTTAATTTTAATTTAATAATTACTTTGCTTATTTTGACTTTTAGTTACATTGCTTCCAATATACTACCACCTAACTTTTCTGTTCCTCTTCAAATTAAATAAATAATAAATTTGGTGTTTTGCCTCAGCTAACTTGTTTGGTCAGTTACTAATAAAATAAATTTTATATAATAAATAAAGATAAAATATTATGTCTATACTTTTTTGTTTCTACTTTATTTTTATTTTTCAACTCATAATCTCAACTGACATTCATAATTTTTCTAGATTTTAATCTAACTGTATTACAGATGAATAGGCAAATAAAAAAAAATAGATATAATAATATTATATCGCTAATAAATATTGGTGTTTTATTAATATATATATATATGGCTTTGAATGGCAGGTATTGGGTTTCGGATGGGCTGGCATATTTAGACGTTATTTGGTGGAGCCGGCAGCAATGTGGTGGCCAGCAAATTTAGTTCAAGTTTCACTCTTCAGGTAATAATAGTACACTCTATAACAAAAGAACGGTAATAATAATACATGATCACATCACACTCATGATAAAACATGTTTGAAATTAATGGTATTTCTTTTTAAGTGTAGAAGTTAGTCATTAATATAGCAGTTAGCCCAAGATAACTTAATGTAGAACAGAAAATATCTACAAACAATGACGTCATTACATAAATATATTTTGATTCAATTGTTGTTACTGTTGTATGATTGTTGTTTGCAAACAAGTTGTTGTGTGTTCATTATTTCTTATTAATTTGACAAGTCATTTGCAATAAATTAAGGACGATTATCCTTTTCAACCGGGGCCCAAACGTGCCAAGATGCGCATGCTTCTTCTGCTTAAAATTCGGAAATTATAATCCTATTTTTGAATTTAATTTTCAACACCAAACACGAAGCGAAATTTCACTAAATTATTATGATTGAGTGATCAAACTTTTGAACGTAACTATAAAAATAGAAAAACAAACATTATTTCATATAAAATGCATTTTGGCATATATTTTTTCTTTCCTATGTCCAGACCGTTTACCTCATCACTAAAAAATTCATGAATTTTGAGATAAGATATGGAGAGGAAACATTTGATTCGAGCTTAATAATAAATATTTTATTTCAAATCTTAATTGTTGATTTTTATGTATCTGATGGCGATAATTTATTAGAAATTTATAATTAATTAATAAGTATAATTAAATAAATTACAATTGTTAGATATACAAAAATCAAGAGTTGAGATTTGAAATAAAATTTCTTATTTTTATACCATAGTTAAAAGATTATTCCCCAAAGATATGTTCTTTTTTTTATAATTTTTATATAAATTTACTAAAAAAGGAGTCTTAAAATTCATATTTTTTTATACAAACGTGTACTCTTCAAATTTGTTTAGAAAAAAAAAAATTACGCTCCACGCAAATAAAAGCCTAATATAAATTTTTGTTTATTCATTTATGGTTATTGGATAAGATTTTATTATTTAATTTTATAATAAGATAAAAAGAAAGGTTTGAGTTGTGACTCATTGTTATTAATTTGTTTGGAACCTTACACTCAGGGCCCTGCACGAGAAGGAGGAAAGGACAAAGGGAGGGTTAACGCGACTTCAATTCTTCCTAATCGCATTTTTGTGCAGCTTCGCCTACTACGTGTTCCCTGGCTACATTTTTCAAATGTTAACCTCTCTCTCTTGGATATGTTGGCTATTTCCCAATAATGTTCTGGCCCAACAAATAGGCTCGGGCCTATATGGGCTTGGTGTAGGTGCCGTTGGGCTTGACTGGTCTGCAATTTCAGCCTACCTTGGAAGCCCACTTGCAAGCCCATGGTTTGCCACTGCCAACGTTGCTGCGGGATTCGTGTTTGTGATGTACATTCTGACTCCATTTTGTTATTGGTTCAATGTGTACGATGCCAGAACCTTTCCCATTTTCTCCGACAAACTTTTCACTTCAAAAGGTGAAATTTATAACATCACAGAGATAGTAGACTCCGATTTCCACTTAGACCTTGCGGCTTATGAGAAAGAAGGGCGACTCTACCTCAGCACTTTCTTTGCCATGACCTATGGCGTTGGCTTTGCTGCACTTACCGCCACCATTGTGCATGTTGCTCTCTTTCACGGAAGGTGTGTACTTTCAATGCCATTATTTTGTTATATATAAGGCTAGAATTAAGTTATAGTGTCAGAATAATGAAATTTACGTTCAATAATTTTATTCGAGGAGTGTTATTCTTTAACTCTTTTGCTTAGACTTATTTTGTATCGTTGATTTTCGTATTATATTGACGGTAATCAACAGGGGAAAATAGGTTTAAAAAGTTGAGATACGGTTTGTTTACAAACTTTTTTTTGCAAATTACACTAAGTGTGACCGGTGTATGATTAAAGTATGACCGATCGTACTTAGTGTAGTTTGTAAACAAAAAAGTTTGTAAATATAATCTGCCCCTAAAATGTTATAAGCAAAAAAAAATTAGGAAAAACTTCAAAAACCCTCCTATCATTTTCTTCATAATCATTTACCTCCTCCCAATTTTTTTGAATCATTTACTCCTAACTTAAAGCTTTTTTATTATTTATCTCCCTAAGTGAGGGGTAAGTGATAAAAAAACTTTAAGTCAACGGGGTAAATGATAAAAAAGATTAAATAAGAATGTAAATAATTTAAAAAATTTGTAAATGAGGTAAGTGATAATTAAGAAAACTCGTAGGGGAGTTTTTGAAATTTTTCCAAGAGATTATAAGAGATTATAAGCGAAAAGAAATTATAAAAGATCATAAACAAAAAGATATTTTAAAAATAACATTGTTCATCTTATTAATGTAATTTATTAAAAATTAATATAATTTAATAAAATACGATCATTTGATGTATATATATTAATAATTAAAATTGAATGATAGATTTATTATTTTTAAATCTATATATATATATATATATATATATATATATATATACGATGAGGGTTACATTTATAAATTTTTGTTTATAAACTGTACTATGTACCCTCGGAAGTACATTAGGTTACATTATTACTTCTGGAAATACATAGCATAATTTGTAAAAATTTGTAAAAAAATAATTATAAACGGATCCTTCTCCTATATATATATATATATATATATATATATATATATATATATAAAAAGATAAGATCTTTTGATATTGGTGTCAAATTTAAAAAATTTGACACTAAATCTCAATTTTTGATTTCTGTCAATCAACGATTATCATTTATTGGGAATCAATATTCCCAATAAATGATAACTGTTAATTGACAAAAATTAACAGATAAAATTGTGTCAAATTTCAAAATTTAACACTGGCGTCAAAAATCCTGCCCCTATATATATATATATATATATATATATATGGGGCAGGATCATCTTACACCGGTGTAAGAATAAAAAGTCTTACACCAAATCTTAACCATTGATTTTGTGCATCTAACGGTTAAAATTTATTAGATTCCACTCATTAATTAATTTTTAATTCCCAATAAATCTCAACCATTAGATGCACGGAAATCAACGGTTAAGATTTGGTGTAAAATTTATTATTCTTACACCGGTGTAAGTTGATCCTATCCCTATATATATATATATAATTTAGGTGAAAAACCAATTTATATCGGTTTAAGTTTTACTTCTATTGTTAGTTATTGATTCTACTTATATCTAACTATTCTAATTTATTAGTCATGTGAAGCCCTAAATACAATTGGGATAAACGGTTAATAATAAATATAATACTTATTGGTTTACTCATGTTTAAGTTGATGGTATCTCTATAATTAATTAGAACTTCCATTCTGGTTTTAATTTTTTTTTTTTTTAATTTGCATGTATGTGGACATGGATAAATTGGTATAGGTAGGTAGTGCGCATGTACACGTTTTAAGCATGAAATGAAATTGAATATACAGAGAAATATGGGAGCAGAGTAAATCAAGTTTTAAGGAAACAACAATGGACATACACACCAAGCTTATGCGGAGATACAAACAGGTTCCTGAGTGGTGGTTCGTGTGCATACTCATCGCAACTATTGCAGCTACCATCTTTACTTGTGAATATTACATCGAACAGCTTCAGTTGCCATGGTGGGGTGTTCTGCTGGCATGTGGCATTGCCATCATCTTCACTCTCCCCATTGGGATAATAACTGCAATCACAAATCAGGTTACTACATAATTGTTTACTTCTCCCAAAAGTATTACAATCATTTCTCTCAATTTTGTATCCAATCACTTTTTTGCATGTAATAGTGTATGTTACACACACACACACACACACACATATATATATATATATATATATATATATGTATATATATATATATATATATATATATATATATATCCTTCTTGTTTCTTTGCTAGCTTTCTAATTTTCTTAATTACAGAGTCCAGGTTTGAACATAATCACCGAGTACATCATAGGGTATATCTACCCAGGATATCCTGTAGCTAACATGTGCTTCAAGGTTTATGGTTACATAAGTATGACACAAGCCATCACTTTCTTGCAAGACTTCAAGCTCGGCCACTACATGAAAATCCCTCCCAGAACCATGTTCATGGCACAGGTCAATATTCACCATTCATTTCTAGACCTTTTTAACTTAAAAGCGTTTAATTTTTCTTCCTTGTATGAATTTAAAGATGGTGTAATAAAAAAGTGTTCACAAGTTATTAATTGTTTGAATGTTGCTAATTAATTAGGTTGTGGGAACGCTTATAGCTGGTATTGTGTATTTGGGTACCGCATGGTGGTTAATGGAAACCATCCCTGACATATGTCAAGACACATCCTCTGTTTGGACTTGTCCAAGTGACACAGTGTTCTATGATGCATCAGTTATTTGGGGTTTGATTGGACCAAGGAGAATATTTGGAGACTTGGGCACCTATGAGAAAGTGAATTGGTTCTTCTTAGGTGGAGCTATTGCTCCTTTACTAGTTTGGTTAGCTACTAAGGCATTCCCACAACAAGAGTGGATCAGACTCGTAAACATGCCTGTGTTGATAGGTGCCACAGGAATGATGCCTCCAGCAACTGCAGTGAATTACACTAGTTGGATCATTGTTGGTTTTCTCTCTGGGTTTGTTGTTTATAGGTACAAGCCAGAATGGTGGCGGCGTCACAATTATGTGCTCTCTGGGGCCCTTGATGCGGGTCTTGCCTTTATGGGGGTGCTTTTATATCTATGCCTAGGATTGGAGGATATTAGTATCAATTGGTGGGGAAATGACCTTGATGGTTGTCCCTTAGCTCATTGTCCAACGGCTAAAGGACTTGTGGTTCCGGGTTGTCCCGTTTTCACTTGACTAGAATGTGATTAGCTTAGTTATTGTTATTAGCACTCTTAATTCATGCTTTCAACTTCAACCCTTGCATTCCCTTACTCTGTAAAATGTATATATTTCCCAATTTGTTCTTAGTAATGATATGGGTAGATTTTAGCATTGATCTTGTGTTGTAAAAATTCACCCAGGTTAATAATCGTGGATGAAACGGTTATTTTTATAATTTGAGCTTTTTAGCAAGAGAAAAATGTGGGTTCGCATTTTTCTAGGGTTAATGCAGATAAGTTATCTGCAGTAAGCCAATACGACGTCGTTTTGGGACAGAAATCATGGTGTTTTTGTAATTTTAATTTATTTCAGGGTTGTAATAGTCTTTATATTTTAATTTTTTAAGATTTCAATACCAAAACGACGTCGTTTTGGAAATAAATGCAGATAATTTATCTGCATTAACTGCAACAACATTTTAGCCTATAAGTTATCTGCATTTATTTCGAAAATAACGTAGTTTTGATATTGAAATCTTAAAAAATTATAAATATAAAAACTATTATAACCTTGAAATAAATTAAAATTATAAAAACACTATGATTTTTGCTTCAAAACTATATCGTATTGAGTTTGCTGCAGATAACTTATCTGCAGAAAAATCGAACAGTTATAATATACTGAGTTTTGTTTTTTAAAAGTGTTAAACTCAATTTCAATCGATCTAATTAGTGTTGTTAAAATCATATTGGATTAAAACTAGATCGAGATCGGCTTGTCCGACTGGTTTAACCAAATATTGGACCATTAATTGGTTTGATCTAATTAAATTAATCCGTTTATGCATACGATTTAATATAAAACTGATTAACTGCGTATAAATCGATATTAAATTGACCCCAATTTTCTAATTTAACAATTTTTTTAGAATTTTGCGTGAAAGATTTAAACACTTTTACTTCGAAGAATCAAACGATGACTCATCGTTGATATTAATCCGATCAATTTTTAGTTGAACGGACTTTTTAGTATTTTGTGTAAAATATTCAAAGAATTGATGATCAAATCCGTAACTTGACCTGAGATACATATAATTTTTTTTTATACTCTATCTATTTCTTTCCAATATCATTGAATTATAATCTTAACCAACAACCCGAAAAGAGAAAAACGATGAAGATTGATTGAGATTGTAATTCAATGATATTAAAAAAAACATATAAAAAAGTATGCGTAATATATTATCCTTAAATATTATATGTATCTCTCGGCAAGTTACGAGTCTGATCTTTGATTATTTTGAGTGTTTTACAAAATTTTAAAAGTCCGTTTAACTAAAAAAAGTGGTTACCATGTGCTTATTATAACGCTTATGTTATTTTTTTTTTTTTTTATATACTCTTATATAAATTTAGCTCAAAAAAATACAATAAACGACTCATTAGTTGAGTCGATGACTTTTTCAAGTTTAATAACACTAGATCTAACTCTTAATACAGTCTCCTAAGAACTTACCGAAACAAAAGAATCACCTAAAAAGCTAAAAACGATCTCTCTCTCTTTTTTTGATTTTTTTTCTTTTTAACGTCTGAAAACAAGTGCCTACAACCTTGTTCCAAATTATGCACTATCGGGTTCCTTCTTCTTGTTGATGCTTAGCGCCATAAAGACCGCCAAACATTATGTACCATAAAAAAGGAGTGTCAAACATTAAGCTAATGAAAAAAATGGCTTTTTGACTTTGAAATGCTTGACCGGATTAAATTTTTAGTCAAACATATTATCGATAGTGGTGGAGCCAACCCATTCATTGAGCTAGGACCAATAAAAATTTAAGTGAAATTTAACATTAAATTTTATCCAGAAACTTAACCACAATTATTTAGTTACGTTAAAGACGTGACCAATTTTCTAAAACAAGCTGGAGCCAAGGCCCCACACACAAAACGTAGCTCCACCACTGATTATTGAACTAATGCATAATGACATGCAACTGGGGAAGGCGCGTTGAGACACGCCATCACACATGTGAATTACACGTTATCAGACTCAGAGAGACACACACCTGTAAGTAGCAAGTTTAGCTTTGACTTCGACACACATAACTGAAAGACGTGCCAGAGCTGGAGAAACACACACTTGTCAGTGGCGTGTTTGACCATGACAATGACTCACAACTTTGAAAGGCGCGTTAGAGCTAGAGAGAAGCATAATTTGAGGCTATGGGTTTAAGAGAGAAGAGTTTTGAGGTGCTTGAAGTGTTACACTAAGAGGCATAAGTTTGAAATGTTCAACTGTGTTACCTTCAACTTAGGAAAATCCTAGAGATAATGCAAGAAATTGAGCTTCAGTTTATATGGACCTAAATAGTCATGCTTTCATCTATTGGGCTTATATGTGAACATACAATTAGACTACATTATTAATATATCTAACACAGGTGATGCGTCAGACGTGTCATAAACACGCCTCTGACGATGTTGCGTCCAAGGGCAGTGTGTTGGATACCGCGTTTAAGTCTATTTAACCACTCGAACTCCCTCCCCCCACCCACCGATGCAAATCTCTCAAATTCTCATTCTCCCCTCTCTCAAATTCCCATCCACCTGTCCTTTCCTTCTACAATCCTATCATGCAATAAGACTTGACTGCCATCTGCATTGCTTACTTGGATTCAAATTCTTGTTTAACAAATAACTTATCCACAATGGTCCATTTACCACAATACTCCCTTTCAATGCATTCTTAATCCTCATTCAGATACTCATAATTAATGTATAAGTAATGCATAATGTCATTCCAAAACGGATTTACGATGTCACCTACACAATATATATATCGAAATCAGTAGTTAAATGAATAAGGTAAAAATAAAAATAAGAGTGAATAAAGAACTTGTCCATTAACCTTCGACCACATTTTGATACCCAATGACACCTGTTGATGACAATTCATGGATGGTGTTTCAAAATTTCGTTGGCACAACAGTTGGATTAGTATCCTCATCCTCTTCGCCATTTGGCTGATAGTCATCGTGCTCAACATCCAGATGGGCATCCTCGTCTTCTTCTTCTTTGTCATCATCATTACGGATCCATGTTGGAATGTCTTCATCCTTAATTGTTACATTATTGCGTGTTGGCGGAGGTACAAGTGATGATACATACCACTATAAATTATTAGTATTTGGTGTTGTATCCAAATCAATCAACCACATCGATATTGACAAATCCTCAGCATTTTCAACATCTACGTATAGCTCAACAAACTACCTTGCACTACTATGATTAGAACTCATTTCACATTGTTCCAAAAATATATCTAATATAATATCAACAACATCATTATCTGTAATAGATATTGTTGTGTATTCATTTTTGCCAGCAAGAGTTCTCACAGTCATTTCAAAAATATATTGATTCCCTTGCAATCCTAATTCCTGATAATTTTTTTCCTTCAACTCCTCAAAGCTAGTACCATGTGTAATACACATTGTTCTTTTCTCACTTTCAAATGTTGCACCACGAAGACCCATGGCTTTTCTATCATTATAGTATATAAGATTTGAACTCATTTTTTTTCCGCCAACTGCAAAACAAAAGGAAATTCAAACACTGATACATAGAAGGTGAAATACAAAAGGAAATGGGATTTGGGAAGAAGAAAGTGGGTGCGAGAAGAAGAGAGTTTGACGAAGGTGAAATACAAAGGGAAATGGGGTTAGGAAGAAGAGAGTGGCGTTTTTTATGTTCGGTGGAGAGGTTTATACTTTGGGATATATTTTTCTCATGTTGTAGGGAAAAAATTATCTCATGTTGTAGAAATAAAAGTATAAGTGGGACCCACAGATAAGAGGAGAGAGAAAAAAGAGTGGTGGGACCCAATCCCTTTTTATGTGTGTAGGAGAGTTGTTTATCTCATGTAAAATGAGATAAACATAACCCTTATACTTTATATTGAGCAAGACGTGCATGACATCCATGCGTGTTTGACATGGGCTGATTTTACATGAACGCGCACATACTTTAGCCGCGTCTAAATGCGCACGTAGCGTTCAATAGATACTTCTGTGGTTAACGCGTTTACACTCGTATGTTCAAGTTATGCTGATATTGTATAGGAGGCACAACTTACCGTAACATATTTTTCTTCGTCCTGATATGTAGATTGCAGCTCGCAGATGCGAGGCTGTACAAAGTAACTAATATATCCCCTTTCGAAAGGATTTCTCCGTAATGTCCGTGAACAGTTGCGCCTGGAATCGCCAAATAGGGGCTTGCTGATCTTATTACTACAGAGTCAATGGGAACAAGTACATTTGGAGAGCGCAGTACAACGAATAGTTGTATGTTGCGTTCGAGGGGTGTTCGCGGTTTGGATTGGATCGATTTTGGAAGTAAAAATTATCCGATCCAATACCTTCGGTTTAATCATATAATCATCCATTCGGTTAGAATTTTTTTTTCAAATCCGATCCAATCCAATTTTTTTCGATTTGGATTGGATCGGTTTTTGGTTTTTAAAAAATCCTAAAATTTATTTCATGATTACTATGCAAATAACATCTTTTGTATATATTGACTTTGTAATTCTTTTTTTTTTTTTTTTGAAATACAAAAGCATTAGTAAACTATAATATAGATTTTTTGTAGCAATGAGATATTAAGCTCTACAAAAATAAAATTTTGTTAATGAGACGTTACTAGATTTTTTTTTGGGTTTAGTTGATAGGTTAATGGGTCTTGGGTTTATAAATTTTTGGACTATGATTAGAAAAAGAACCAAGTAGGTAGAGGGAAATTAATATATTGGATCGGTAAAACCGATCTAAAAACCGATACAATCCAATTAAAATTTGCAGTTTTTTTGTTTTTGATTTTTCGATTTTCGATTTATTCGATTATTGATTTTTCGGTTCGATCATCGCGGTTTAGATCGGTTGATGAACACCTCGTACAAACACACCCAGTTGCGCGTTGTTTAGAAGCTTAATATGCTCAAACGTTTCGATAATTGAAATACTAGGATAAAAAATGAAAGAAGTAAATCTCTGAGCAGGAGTTTAATTTGGTCAAACGTTTCGATAATTGAACTACAACGTTCAAAAAATAAAAGGTAAATCTTTCGAACTTCGAAGTGTTGAACACATTCTACAACTGGAATCACCCAACAGTTGACGCGGTACCGACACTGGAGTTGATTATTAACCGACAATGCCCCACCCAACGCACATTCCCAGCTGGCAAAGCTGTCGCTAATTTCAGTTTTATATATCTTTTTTTTTTTTTTTTTTTTAATTTGTATGCTTTCTTTTATTTCCCTTTGCTTTTAGGAAGTCCTCACCTAATTGGTTGTCGCAACAGCTATAAATTTCGGACCAATCGTTCGATTACCTTTAAATTTGGAAAGAAAATAGTGTTACCTCTATTAGTTGCTCATCACATGAACAAAGAATGAGCGAGATTCAAAAAGCTTTGTTTATTCTTTTCACAGTTCATATATAATATATTATTCTCTGCCAGAATAGAAAGACAAAAAAAAAAGCCACCCATCATGCATAATGGCATTCGTAGTCTCCAATTATAACTATTGCAATACATTGATGAAAGGAATACAATTTAAGAAACTTTATACGTAAAACAAAAAAAGTGAAAAAACCAATATCACCAATTCCAGAGCATTGTGAAAAGAATGAAAGAAAGAAAAAAAGTTCAAAAACAATATCACTCTGAATATTTCTGAGTTGTCTTTACTGATAGGTTGTCACATCAAGCTAGAGAGAAATGAACATAACAAGAATCCAATGATAACGAGTGGAAAAGTTGAAGTAAGGTGAGGTGAGGAAGAAGAAGTTGAAGATAAAGAAGAAGAAGGAGAAACAGGAATGGTGCCAAATACAGTGGGATAGGAAGGTGCTAATGAAGTTGGAGCAGGTGCATTTACATTTCCCCCAACACCCACAGATATTTGAAGCTTTTGATTCTTTTGGCAATGACCAACTTCTCCACTGGTGAAGTAGAAAACCCCCTCTGATGTAATATTAAACAGCGAATTACCATTGTTCATATACAAGATTGGATCTTTAAGGTTGCAACTCTTATATGATTCCTCTGCTACTTGAATAACCGAATCTTGACTTGGTGGGTATAGAAACACTGTATTCATATGTAAAAAAAAAATGAGCTAAAAAATTAATGTTAACGAGTAAACTATGTACTAGTATAGAATGGAGTATGGACTTACAGAGTGAATCACCAACTTTGAGGGTGTGATATTTGGACCATTTGTCATAGACTTGTGAATTTGCTGAAGTGGGTAACCCCCAGGAATCTAGATCTCCAACTTTGTATTGGTAGCATAGCACAATGGTTTGGATTTGGAGCAACATAAGCAAGAGAGACACAAAGACGCAGTTAAATCTGGGACTTCTAAGATTGGGCATATTGGTTATACTCATCATCACACTAACCTCGATTTTCTTAGATTTAGGAGCTGAACCAGGAACCCAGTACGGAGGGAGAATGAGACATCTAATTGGTTTGAATCTGGGGACTGCAAGGTTGATAATGATTTCAGAAAGGGTCCACTTAATGGTCAATTTACCTGGGTGCCCTCCCATTAATTGAAAGATTGAAAAGTTTAGCATAAAGTTTAAATATTACATATTCTTATTTGAGGCACGATCAAACAGATATAAGAATAAATAATCTTATATTTAATTTTAATATTTGATCTGTTGAAATTGATCACATAATTTAATACAAATTACTCAAATTCCTCATCACTAGATCAATCCTAATGAAACATAGCAATTTCTCTAAGGAAGTTTAGATTAAGCTGTGAAAATAGAAAGGGCGTTAATGGATTCAAATGTTTTTCTGGAGATTACAACTCAAAAGTTTGCCCACAAAAGATTGTATCAGCTCATGGTCCGTGGCGGACCCTCTTTGCCCAATCTGTTAGTAGGAGAGAGAGTCTTTGCTGCATATTTTTTTAGATTGTCTGGTGATCCGTGATATATGGTATGGTCCCTTACCATATGATACACTAGCTCAGTTCTTTGATGCCAATTGGGATGATTGAGTGATTGATAATTGGAGATGCGGTATCATGGGTGTGGGAGGTTTTGTTTCGTGTTCCTTATACATTGTTTGTTGCTGGTATATTTGGCGCTAGAGAAACGAAGTGACCCACGATAGCTCTACCAATGGGGATCGCCACCTTGCTCGGCCAATCCTTGACTACTAGAAGGAGATACAACTTTCCTTTACAGACACAAAGCCAAGGTTACGACTTCATTTCTCTAAGGATGTTAGCTGGCAGCCTCTTTTGACTCTGTATGTTAAATTAAATACAAATGGAGCCTAAAAGGGTCAAACGACTGAAGCAGCTTGTGGAGGGCTTCTCCTTGACCACAAGAGAGTTTGGATATAGCGTTTGCTGTAAGAATTGGACATTGTGCTGTATTATAAGCGAAACTGTGGGGTATGTTAAAAGAGCCGAAGTTAGCTTGGGAGACAGGTTGGAGAAATGTTTTGGTTAAAAGTGACTGTCAAACCGTCATTGCATTATTTTCTAAGGCAATGAAGCTCGTGAGTCCCACCTAGTGACTCGAATACGAGCTTTTGCTAGTAGTCAATGAAATGTTCGGTTTATGTATGTTCTTTGGGAGGGCAACCAATGCTCAGATTGGTTGGCAAACTATCTGTTAATGCACCTAGAGTTACCTGATGAGGCTCACTTCTCAACCCCCTCCCCCCTCGTAGGACTATGGTGTCATCTTCAGGCCGACAGTAGGGGTGTGATTTTTTTCTAAACATGCACAGACTCGCTAAGAGCTTTCCTATCTAATTTTTTCTCTGTTTTCTTTTTCACTGTTTTCTGTCTATACTTCAATATATCAAATATATATATATATGATCTATTTGCATTTAACATATCACATGTTTAATAAATTAGAGCTATTATATGCATGTAGATCAAATACTAAATATTAAGAGTATAATTTATACCATAATACTGATATAAAATGATCTTATTCCTTTTTGTTTATATCGCTTCTTTTTTTTAGATATTTTTTTGTCTTAGTGCATCTAAATTTTTATTTATAAATAATAATATGTCAAAATTATCATATGTTAACAATATATAATCTAACTCTTTTTCATTATTTTAAATTATTTCAAACTTCAACCTCATACAAAAGGATGGTTTGATATTTAAAATTGAGGCATAGTAAAAGAGTGAAGAAAAATCTAACATCTATTTATTATTTACAGGGACAAACTAAAGAGTTAAAGCAATTTTAAATGGTGTTTAAATCGATTTAAATGGGGAAAAAAAGAATCACAAGAAAATTAAGTGATAAAAAAAGACTAAAGGGGAAGTCATTTTAAATCATATTGAATATATTTGAACATTCTCCAAAAAAAAATTAGTAGTATATGATTGATTTCGTTGGGATGTGAACGGAGAGGTCAGGCGTGGAAAATAGATGGTTAAGGTTAAAATGACCTCGCAAATGAGACTTATGACTTGTCGTGAGTAAAAATACAGAATGCATAGCATTAGGTGTTTGACGAGTTTAGAGGGTTAAGACTGGAATATAGGTCAATTATTATTAGGCTTATAATGTGCACATGGGCAAGTTGGCAGTCTATATTTGTTTATAAGGTTTTGTTTTGTGTTTGGCGGTGTCACATTATCACATGTAGCAGAGATACAATACAATACAAAGCAAATTGTTCAGGCACATCACATGGTTGGCAAAATGGAAATACGTGATCAAAGCTTTTGAAATTAAATATCTAAATTTTTACTTTGATCGATTTAGAATTTTTTTTTTTTTTTTTTATCATTGTTCAGTTTTTATTTTATTTTTTAATTTCTGCTCTTTGTTTTCTCGAAAATATTTTCGATACTCCTATTCTACCGAGTACTCGGTAATCATTTATTAAATATGATAAAAAATAATATTTTTACACTATTTTCATCTTTATGGTTATTGTACCGTTGGGATCTACAAGCACAATATGTTCCCTTTGGGGATGAAGATCACTATATGAGTTATATCACTAGCACAGGTAAAAACCAAGCTAGGCAGCAGTGTCCCAAGTATGAATATTGCTAAGTGATAGAGGGGTGTGTGTGAGAGACTTCTAGGCTTGTAAACTAACAGGATAACGATACATAAGATGCCCCCCTCTGGTCTTGAGAGGGGGTGCCTGGAGTGGGTAGGTGAGAGGGGTCAACCCTCCTCGGGGGATGCTAGGGATGACTGACACTGTTGTGGTAGCAGTGGTGCAGTCACTGCATTGGAGGTGGCAGTTGCTGATGTTATCTCTGTGGGAGGGGGTTACTACTTATGGTACCTGGGGCGATCTTCAGCTGGATTGGTATCTCACCTCGGAGGTGTTGTCGCCTAGGGGACAGGATAAATGAAGGGTTGGTATTTTATTGGTCAGTAGGACTGACGTGGAGGTGGTAAGGGGACTTGGGCCTGAATCACTGGACCGCCCAGATGTGGGCCATCCGGAACAGTTATTTTTACTTATATCCTATATTTTTTTTTCTTTTTAACAAAAAAAAATACAAATACTCCTGTTGCACCGAAAATTAACTCATTTTATCTCTGGATGTCTTCTAAAGAGACACAGATGAGAAAGACAAGTATGGGGGTAGAGTAATTCTTGATTGGATGATTTAGTAAAAGAAGAAAAGAGAACAACAAATTAAGGGTTAAAATTAAGAAAAATTATATTCTTATGTTGAATGAAATTCATATCTTATATTACAATCACATAAAAAGAAGTGCCTATTTTTTTTTTTAAAAAAATTTGGTGTTCCTCATTTTATTTGTCTCATAACATAAGATAACTTATCTCTTATTACATTAGAGAAGTAAAGCCCTAAAATTAAAGTAAGATAGGATGAGTTACTTTTAATTAATTTAAAATAATTTTTTTTTAAATTAAAAATCTCTGTTAGGTTAATTTAAAATCTTTCAAATAAGATTATGTTTCACTTTTCTCTCTTTATCTCCCCCCTCCCCCCACCCGCTCTCTCCTTAGTCATATTTACTTTTCAGTTCACATCTAATACCAAACTACATTTTGGAACAGTGACCAAAGTGCCACTGTTCCACAACTTATTTCCGTAAATGCCATGCCAACAGTGCAATTTACCAGTCTGTCACGATGGCAAGTTCGCCCAGAATAGTAGCGAACTAGGTATGATGATGTGTCACGTTTCTGGTGACACGTTGTTCGCTACTGACACAAGCGAACTCTGCAGCATTAAATGTTGAGCCCCTTCTCACCTGTCAAGTCACGTGTCTTGCATGCAACAAAGGTCGCTAGCCACATTAGCGAACTATGTCCAACGGCTAGCAGGCCACGTGGTTGACATGCACCAAGTTCGCTGCCCCCCAGCGAACTTGGTGCAACGGCTAATTTCCAGAGCCCTATATAAACCCCCCCCCCCCATTTCCCCCTCCCCACCCGAAACTCTCCCCCTGTCACTCTCTCATTTTTCTTGTCTCACTCTCCTCCTTTCTAATTTTTCTTTCTCTCTCATTTCATTTATCTCTCTTCATTTGAGGTTAGTAAATTATGGTTTAATTAATTTTTTTACATCTTTTTATTGTTATTTAAATGTTGTTAATTATCATATATAGGATGAAACATTAGGTTAGAAGACACAATTATGAGTAAGCCATATGCATGTTAATGTTAGTAGTTTAATATTTTATATTAATGCTTTATTTAGTAATATGAATTGTTTGCTATTGTTTATAGCGTTTAAATTTAGGTTATAAATTTTTTATATTAATGTTGTGTCATGAACCTCAACCTCTGTATCCGATGAATCACTATCAGGAACAAGACCTTCATCAACCCCTTCCTCAGAACTATTAGTACGCCACGAGGGATCATATATGTCATGCGCAGGAATCACATCTGATGCATTGTTAGTGGGGGTGATGGTGGCGGGGGTGGTGACACAGGCATAGCTTTCGCACTATCCACCGACTCCCGGTTAATGTCTATGTCGTAACTGGTAGGGACGGAGATTTGAGTGCTTGCCTCTTCACCAGTGTTTAGTTCCGCATATAACTTGATGTATGACGACAGCCCATGCTGTCGAAATGCGTCAACTAATAACGAGATGTCTTCATCCTCCACAACCTCCACAGAAACCCACTGGACCGGGTTACCGGAGGCGCATCTAACAATCAGTCGAGAGAGGGACTGACCACGTTGTAATCTCAACTTCTTGTATATAATTTTCTTCAGGTCATTATATTTGCAATGGGCGCTCATGCGGAACATCTTCATATCTCCTTCGAAGACTTGACCGTTTGGTCCAATATATCTCCTCCCATTGTAATATAAAATGGCAATTATATCATTCATACAATCACTCATTTTGTTGACAAATTAGACAGAAGTAGCAAAAAAAAAAACATTGGCTTCTTTTCCCAACAATCGCACCAGAAGAACACATTGCAAGTGGAAAAAGGGGGTGGGTTTAAATAGCAACAAGTTCGCTATGCTGGCCAGCGAACTGTAACTGTCGGCAGGTAGTTCGCTGGCCCATGCAGCGAACTACCAGGGAACTGCCACGTGTCACCAAGTTCGCTTCTTGGTCCAGCAAACTTGGTCAGCTGTTGACAATTGTTCCCAAGTTCGCTAGCCCTGTCAGCGGACTTTGGGGGTGGTGCCACATGGCACATAGTTCGCCATGCCCCTCAGCGAACCATGTGCATGTGAGACACCTGTCACACGTAGTTCGCCTTGTCCCCAAGTGAACTTGTCCAGCGTGTCAGCATTTAATGATGCAGAGTTCGCTTGTGTCAGTAGCGAATTACGTGTCCACCAGAAACGTGACACATCATCATACCTAGTTCACTACTACTCTGCGCGAACTTGCTCTCATGGCAGACTGGTAAATTGCATTGTTGGCGTGGCATTTAAGAAAATAAGTTGTGGAACAATGACACTTTGGTCACTGTTCCCTACATTTTAGTAGCTCCAACATTTCATTAAAGATACAACCTGTACAGTAGATAGAACAATACAATAATCCCGTATAAGTATAACCCCAAATAAAATTAAAAAAAAATAAAACTCACCAACCCCAAAATTGTATCGTTGTGGGAGTGATTGATAATTTTACCTCCTCTAATAAGTTAAACACTTAACCCTACTAATAATAATAATAACTATTCAATGTGTAGTGATATAATTATACCCCAGGGGTTATGTCCCCAAAACTTTCTTATGGCAACAACCCGTAATTCATCTGCAAACTTAGTAGATTGTAGCATGATACATCAGAGAAGCTCAGGTACATCGGAAATTTGAATGAATAAATAATGAGACTATCCTTCACGTACCATTTTTGTTTATTTTCCCTTGCTGGCCTATAGATCTTCATATAACCTTATTGATCACAAGGGGAAGTTATGCTGCTCTTATTTTCAGTATCCAAAAAGCAGTTCTCTTTTGGCACAGAGAGAAAGAATGAAGTTCATCTATCATTTCTCAATCACAAATGGATGTACATGTGCTTCATGAAAGATGATCAGAATCAATCAACTTTCATGCAACTTCCTCTCTTCTGTCCCCATTTTGCTCCTGACTGTAGAAAGCTGTTAGCTGTTGTTGCAACTGTTCCAAAACCAGATTGTTAGTTAGTTCTTCTCAAATTTTTAAGTTCTAGCATATCATATCGTACGTGAATTGCTTATCTAACTAGCATCCCACATGGGCTATGACTACGTAATGCAAGCAAAGCCTGCATAAGTGAAATTTTATGGAATAAAACAAAGAAAGTGAGGACGACCACATACAAAAGCATCTACACAAATTTACCTGCATGTATTTTAATTTCTCAGCAGTCAGTTCATCGGTTAAATTGATCATCCTGTAACATGAGATGGGGCAGGAAGAGAGGGAGTTAAATAAGCTATTGGAAGTCAAAGAAAAGGAATTACTAAGAAAGCATTTTCAAACCGATATAACTAACCGAGTCTGAAGCTCTGAAACTTTGACCAGCAGAAGACGTTCCCTTTCTGAAGCTGCTACATCAACCTATAAACGACACAAATTTCAAAGGAAAACATCAAGCTAATGAATAATCATTATATTATAGGATTTACTAGTGACTTGTGTCAGGAAAACAAGATTGACTAGTTTTTCCAAGAAAATTGATACATATAGTAGTTAAAGAGTAATTATGCATACCAGTTAAAGGGATAAATCAAGTATAAAATTACTCACACTTCCATTGATCTCTGAACTGTGAGGTAATGGTGGCAACTTTCCATTCTGAGATACTGAGAAAAATTGATTGACTCATTATGTCATTCAATACCATAAAGAATTGCCTCAAACATAATCAATGAAAAATCATTCACTCACCATCAATTGCTTCAGCAGGTTGCAAACTATTTAACAGATTCATTATAAGATCCTGGAATGAAATAGAACTTTCCAATGAGACTATAATTTGGCCCAAGTTATATTTATGACGATCAAACTTCTATCAATAGCACATACACTTTTCTCACCTGTTGAATAGATGTCTGCTGGGAAAGATTTTGAAGGTGAGGCATAAGAAGTGACGGAGAGATATTGGTAGCCGCAGAATCTTTGGCGGCCTGACCAATTGGCTGAAGAGAAATGGATTCAATATTAGACAGACAAGCCTTATATATCAAATCAAGTAATAAATGATACATCCTAGATGCTCTGCAACCAACCCGAGAAGCAAAAATTTCACAAAATTGAAAATGAGCTGTCTCTTATTTTATAAGTTGTTTTGAGAGCGTTAACCAAATTTCGAATAAACATGGCAGAAAATGCTGATAAACAAGACAGTTAGGTTTGATGCAAATGGCTTGTGTACAAACCATTTGTTTCAAATCCAACATCCAATCAGCAACACTGGTAGATTTCCGTAGTGCTGATCCCTATATCAAATGTAACAGGAACATAACATCAGATAAGGAAAAAAAATAGAGCATAACTATATAAATGATAATCAATTAGAACAACAACTAACCTGTGAAGATCGGCGTGAAACTGAACTTAAAGGAATATCCTGTGGCACGACATTAAGTCAGTTACGGTTGAATGATAGGGCAACCCTACTGTAAGAATAAAGCATACCTTCACAATATCTAAATTTTCTGACGTGACAGAGAATCGCCCTTTAATTTGCACTAGATTAGCCTTAGACTTGTCATCCAAGGAATCTCTGAATCCTACCAAGAGTGGTGCCAACCAAATTAAAATAAAAGAATTTAAGATGGTTTGGTTCAAAAAATACTAGAATTTCTGCACATAGCCTTACAGCGTACACAGCATAATTTAATACCTCCAGAAGACTTTATTGGAGCCGATAAACTATTTGCTGAAGCCCGAGTTGGAAGCATCAAAGGACCACTAAAACTTGGAGCTCGTCGCAGTTCATGATTATATTTTTTACTTGGTAATTGATTTCCATTCTCAAGCCTAAATTTAATAAAGCATAAAATGTTACATCTAGCAAAATATCATGACAATTATAACAAGTAACCACAATCACTGTGGATACAGTAAGAAACAGAAATAGACACACAACAATGGATTCATTGATTTAATTTTTAAATTACAAATTTACAACAATGTATAGTCGTAGACAACTCAAGCAAGATAAAAGGGAAAAATGGGATTCTCTAGCCTATAAATTCTTCGCCGTAGACTTCAAGCCTACTTCTTTTAGATAAAACTTTTGTTAGAATTCATAATCAAAAAATTAATAAAATTGACTGCCCATGTCACTAATGTTTATTAATTTTCTAAATTAGAAACTTTATGCACCACCTTAACCCTAAAGAAAAATAAATAGCAGACTTAATGAATTATTCTTCCCGCTATCAACTGCAATTCCAAAATGAACATATGTTGATGGGCCTAAAATTAAGTGGGTCAGTTAGTTAGTTATTTTAGAATATTCTGTGAGTAGAATAAAAGGTAGGCAGTGTGTGTAATGTGGGTATGCATGTATTGAGTGAATTTGGAGCTGGACTTGGGAAAGGATCTTTTGGGATCTCTTTGGGGCCTAGATATGTTGGTCTTGAATGGTGAGTTGAGATCTTGGTTACTGTCATAGTTGTATTTTCTGCATTGTCATTGTTATTCTTTTTGTATTTGCTTTGTTTGTATTCACTGTTTGATTTAGTTGTAATTCTCTATCACAATGTGATAGGTTGGAGTCAGTAATTAGGAATCTGTCACTGAAATTCTGTATTGCTTGAGTTAATGGAAGAATATAATGAGATGTCTTTCAGTTCATCTATAGTTGTCCTATGTTTATTGTGATTTCCACTACTGTCCAGCATTATATACGCATAGGTTCAATCATATGCCAATCATATTGTTTTTGAAGGTGCATCCTCATTCTATCATATTCTACATTCCTTCCACATGATGGTGAGTTACTATGACAAAACTCACAATATAAATCAGAATGCTACAACATTACTTAGTTCAAACTTTTTTCCTTAAAAATTTTAGAAGTGAAACGCTTTGATGTATTGAAGTAATATTATGTCAGGTACTCAACTTATAATACTTTAACGATATATATGAATGTATCAGCATTTGATATGGCTACGGCAATACACACCCAATTTTGTTGTATCCATGCATCATAGGTTCTAGATCAATAGCAAAGACAAAATAAAAAGCATCACGAAAGCACGATCACATTAAACATCATGCCATTAGTTCTATAAAGCAGTAACTGTTGGGAATTTGAGTATGGGTGAAGAAATCCCTTATTGGAAAGGAATGGACATACTCTTAAGGTTTTGGGTAAAGATGGTATAAAGTCCTCAAGTGTGGTTCCTCGCAAATCCCATTGAAAGAGATCTCCTTAGTATTATAGGCTCTTCTAACCTATCATTATGATTCAGCTGGGATGAGTGCTAAAAATGTTTGTTGGTGCTCTTGTAGATGCTACCCCCATGGAGAAAGAAGCTCTATAGTAAGGAATGTCTCCTATGAACAAATTGATCTGCCTAATTTGGAAAGGAATGGGTCAAGCCCTCAAATGTGATTCCTTTCCAATCCCATTGAAAGAGATCCGCGGTATTATGGGATCCCTCTAACCTAAAGGTGGTATTAAATCTTATGATTCAACTGGAATGAGTACTAAAAATGGTGGTTGGTGCTCTTGTAGATGCTATCTGATACGTCCCCAAGTACGCTGCAGGAGATCTCTCCCTAATGCAGAGTCAGCACTTAATTTGTTAAGGGGGAATATTCTCTCATCTGGTGCAAATCATACAAGAGTGGTGAATGGTGCATGCATTGCTGACGTGGATAACAGAATTGGTGGGAATGATGACAAGGAAGGAATCCTTGGTAGTTAAATATGGGAATTGCACTCTGAAGAAGGATATCGTGGAATTTGGGACTTCTTTGGGAGGACTGCAGGGCTCCTCGAATTGCTCTACACCTTTATCATTTTTCTGAGACAATCTTTGTTATTTCAATTAGTGTTTATATCACAGGCTTTCAGTATCAATATATCAGCATATTTTTCTGTTTTATTGCTACTGGTATTAATAGATTGTATCACTATCCTCATGGAGAAAAAAGTCCTATGGTAAGGCATGTTCCACATGAACAAATGGATCCACCCAATTTGGAAAGGAATGGATGAAGTGAGAATCATATAAGAAAGTGGAACAACAAAGGTACCTAATGCCCTAAGATTTAAAGTCAAAATATAGTATTAAGCCTAAAAGTGTAATTACTAAGCTCATCAAAGGAGATCTTCCTCACTGGTGTTTAGGGCTCTTCTTAACCTAATAGTAATGTTAACCTGATAGTAATGTCAATCATTGAGACAAAAATTAATTTAAAAGATCGAAAAGGCAAATCCAAACCTTCCATTTCGTGTCTTTCCTCAATTAAGTCTATGTGGATAAAGGGTAACGAGGGGAAGGGGATGGAAGGGGCAAAGATGAGAAGGAAATAATTGTCCTAGCTTGGAAGTTTAAAATTTGAAGAGGAAGGGACAGAAAGAGGAAGCATCCACCTCAGTCATCTTTTGTTCCCTCAAAATTGGGGGGTAATGAGGGGAGAGGGGGAGGTTAACTTCGTTTTGATTGAAAAAAAACTTCTAAAACTATTTTACCTCATAAATTGAATCAGAGTAAACTATAATTTTTGTCTCCAAAGATACAAACATTATTATTTTGGACCTCAAAGATTTTTGTCATTAATTTAGTCCTTCAATAATACAAACTGTCATCATTTTGGACCATTTGATGACACTTTGTACAATTTTTGACTAAATTGATGACAAATTTTTTGAGTAACAAAGTGACGACGCTTGTATTTTTGGAGGATGAAAATAGGGGTTTACTCATTGAATTATTTAATAAAGCTTGGTAGACTTATATTCAGAAGGAAACTCTCTTATATTACATAAAAGCAGTCTCTAAAACTTCCAATCATAGCCTAAAACAAGAACTAAAAAACATATGATAAAAAAAATACTATGTACCTTTCAAATGTACGTCCTCTTTCTGATAAAGAATGACTGAGAACTCTGCCTGGCATCAGGGGCCCACTTTGGGTTTGACGACATTCCACAGATTGAGCTTTAATCTTGCTCTTACCCATGTCCTTCTCTACAGTTAATGTTGTTGTCTCCGTGTTCGATCCATTTCTCTTCCAAATAAAATTTTTGGGCAATCTAGGTTCCTGGAGATCACTTTCAAGAATCTTCTCCTTTTTGTTCAAGTATTCACTCTGCTCAGTTTGTAGTATTTCAATACCACCCACTTGTGATGTTATCTTATCTTGAGGTATTTTCTCTGAATTCTTTTTGCCAACACCAGACTGTGGATCAGTTGCATCCTGTCATGACAAAACAAACAACAGATGAATTTGGATTTCTTTAAGGTTAAGAAAGTTTAGAACAGTTGAACCAACACTGAGATTTAGTGGGAAGGTCTTCTTACAGTAGCCTTGTCATTAGTGAAAAAATTGTTTTCATCTTCTTCCCTCATCTCTATAATATCATCATCATCGTTCACCTAGCAAAATTGAAGACATTGGTTCAGATCAAATAAAGGCACAAACTAGTCAAGTAAATAAAATCCAAACAGAATAAATCCATACCGATGAAGCTTGAGCTTTCAAATCATCAAGATCAAAGTTCCATGCACTAACTCCTCGCTGATATTCACTCTAAAGTAAAATATAGAAGTGGATTAGATTCCAACGAATTATAAATTTATTATCTATGAACCCCACTGCCAAAAAAAAAAAAAAGTGATAATCTTTCTTGTTTTCTACGAGAAACATATATACATTACAGTAGGGGGGTGTTTGTTTCAAGTTTTTGAAGAGGATTACCGGTAATCCTTCTTTGGTAAATGTAATTACCACGTTTGGTAGAAGGAATAAATTACGATTCCCGGATATCCAAGGATTACCGGTAATTTGATTTATAAAGAAAAATCACTATTCAGATTACCAAAAATAATATGGTAATTCGGAATACCAATCAGAATACCAAGCAAAAGGGAAAGCACAACAATAAATTTTGAGACAAAAATACCCCAATACACATAAAAATCTAGACCCAATCTATCAATTACAAAAGTAAAAATAGTTTGGGGTTATTTTTGTAAAATAACCTCATATTCCAAGTCATATTTCATTCTAAACCAAATATGGAATCAGTAATTTTTACCCAATATTCCCGGTAATATTTTGGCGAACCAAACACCTCTTTCGTAAGATTCCAAGTAAACTCAATTTCTACTGAATTCCCATTAATCATGATTCCCGGTCACCAAAAAATTTCTCCTGTACTAAACACACCCTAGATGTTAACTGCAGCTTTTAATGCCTAGCTATCAAAAGGAAGTTCTTGATTTGTCTTACTTTAAAACACTTTTATAAGGGTTGGAGACAAAGTGCAGAAAAACCCTCCCATTTCAAATCATGTTTACTATAAACAAATCTAGAAATAGTCAGCTTTCTCATTTCAATGGCAAACTTGATTATATCAGCAACTCATAAAAATGCTCCAATCAATGAACATATTACATTGTGTGACAAATATACATTTGAATATCAGCTTTTACCTGAGATATTGCTTCCTGTTCGGCAGAAGGCATTTTCTTCAGTGCTAGTTGAGCTGCATCTTTGAGCTGCACGAATTTGTAAAGTCAAGCAAAAGTAGCGGTAAAAGAGAAATTTTAAAACCTGCACCAAAGCATGTGGCCAACCTGGAGAGCTTTTACACGATTCCAAAGTGGTGGTAAGTCAGCAAACAATTTCTTTACAGAGAGCTCAGGAGGCTTAGCATTTTTGAAGAAGGAATGTTTCAGTAACTTCTCAGCTGATGGCCTCTTTGTTTGATCTTTCACGAGGCACATAGCAACCATTTCCTTAAAAGACTGATCACAACTGGATATACTTTAATTAGACTAATATTAAATAAGAAACTTACTATGACACAGCAATCCATATCAGAATCAAAGGTCAATCTTATATGCCATGACTACTAAAGAACTAAACAAAACCATAAATATCACAACGATGATTCTTGCATAACAGTCAAGCTAGAAAGAACACCAATACCTTAGAGAACTTTTTATCACGATCATAATCAAGTCCAGGAGGGGCATTCTGTATTGTCATTAGAAGAACCTATACATGAAACACAAAAGTTAGTCTTTGTCCCTATATTATGAATTATATGACATGAACTTGAATCGGGACCATGTCCAACTTCTGTCTAAACATGATCTCTGAACAACCACTAGATGATATAAATACCTTCATTGGAGGATATTTTGAAAATGGTGCATGGCCATGAGCCAACTCGAGTGCCGTAATTCCAAAAGACCAAATATCAGCCCTGTGCAACAATAATGCTCCTCAACAATAAGAATAAACTCGGCACATTATTCCATTATAATAGCAAGACAACAGATGTTTCGTGTTTGGCAATCTACGAAAAAATGAACAAGAACGAATTGAAGCCAACGGAAGCTACGTTGTTAGGTTCTGTAAAGAATCAATTCAACCCAAAAGCTTAAGCTTATAAGTGAGGCTACGTTAATGGTTTTATATATCTCTAACACACCCCTCTCACACGAGAGTCCACTGGACTTAAAGGGTGAACAATGCACAAACCCACCTATCTGTGCTAAGAAACTCCACAAGACTAGATTAATTATTAATTAAATTAGGAGCGGTGAGGATCGAATCCGTGATACTGTGGCTATGATACCATGTAAAGAACCAATTCAACCCAAAAGCTTTTTAGGTTGAATTGGTTCTTTAGAGGTTCTTAGATAGGAGAACACAAATTTATTAGGAAACAGTAGAGGAACAGGTTAAGAGAAGCAAAAATAAAATAAAATAAGTGAAAGAATGGATAATTGGAATTTTCCTATTACTGAGAATTGCAGTTCAAGGAGAGATCACCTTCTCGAGGGTTACCCCGTTTACAACTGCTACCAACCCTCCTATGTCATTCTAACCTTCTATGTTGAAGTGCAAATATTAAACAGGCCCATATTTTGGTATTTCTTGGTTCTACCTTGTGCTAACTTAATTCCACTAGAAAATGGAAGCTATAAAGATCAAACTTGTGACCCCGTAGTCACAGAGACTCTAATTCTATGTAAAGCAACGAATTCAATCCAATAACTCAAGCTATTAAGAGGAAGGCCCAATCAATGGTTTTATATTATATTTGTATTATATTTCTCTAACACTATTACCCCGTTTACAACTGAATCCACTCAATTCAGTTTTCCAACTCCTCTGTCATTCTAACCTCCAATTTAACTACCTACTAACTACTTTAACTGCCTAACTAATTCCAGTCCTGTTAGTGTACACTTTCTAGACCCTCTCACCGAAAAATGGGGTCTAACATATGTAAAAACACAACTTCCAAATGAAGTAAGCTACAACCTTCTTTGAGCAATTACACAAGAATAAATAAATCTGTTTAATGGACTTAAAACCAAGCAGAGTGTGCTTTACTCATGCCCAGAATACTAAAGCAGATTAATAGTAATGACATAAAATAAGAATAATTTAATGGATAACTAACTTGGAATCATAACCACTTCCCGGTTGCAATACCTCAGGAGCCATCCTGCATAAAGAGAAAAGGGCAAATTACATAACATGACACACAAAAAGAGAGAGCTTAAACTTGAGATAGTAAAGAGATTTTTGAGTTACCAACCAGCAAGGAGTACCCACAAAAGTGTTTCTAGAACGCTGTCTATCGCCGTTATCAAAAACGCAAGCGGAAACACCAAAGTCAGCAAGCTTAACGGCGCCGTTACTATTGAGCAAAATGTTACCAGCCTTAACATCACGATGGATATGACCCTGTCGATGAAGGTACTCCAATGCCTTGAGAGTTTCTTTAAGGATAGATCCGATAACGTCCTCTTCAAATCCATCGCTATAAGCTATCTTCATTAAGTGCAAACAAGAACCCTCATCCATGAATGGCATCACAACCCAGAGACTCCGTTCCACACCAAAGGAACAGTGAGCCTTCATCACATTTGGATGATCAATTAAGCTCATCGTTTGAGTTTCCCTACGTACCTCATCCTGTTAAGTGTTAAAACCAATAATTAACAATTATTTTATTTTATTTTATTTGAGAAGGGAAAGAAAACAAAAAAAAGGAACCAGATTGGTAGTGTTGCAGCGATCGAGATCCAAGCATTTGATAGCGACGAGTTCGTTGAAAGGAAGATAGATGGCTCTGTAAACTGTGGCGGTGGCACCGTAACCGATTTCTTCTAGAAGCTTGTAGTCGGAGGGATTTGCAGAGTAGCTTTCGTGACTTCCCATAATTCTTATCTGTTAGTTGGTGGTTGTTGTGTCTCTCTCTGTGTGTGTGTGTGTGTGTTCGCGCGCTCTTGAAACCTTAACTCAATGGCTTGGGTTTGGAAGTTTGGTAGATAGAAGATATGTCTTAACTGAATCCAGTGGCTGACCGGTATCAGAATCCATTTTATTTTAGGACAGCAATAAACTAAACCAAAAGCAATGTAAATGCCTGCTATGTTATCCCATCCTCGAACAGGTGACGTGTCCCCTCTCTCTCTCTCTCTCTCTATTTATTATTTATTACCACTTGACTTTTAGTTGGTTTAACCAAACATAAAAATTATTCGAGGATAGGCCAAAGTGGCACAACATGAATAATGAACCTGGGAAGGATGAAACACTAGGAGCAGGGTTTAAATTCGGATCAAGCATGGAAATTTGAGGATTACGGTTGGATAATTATTTCGACCGACTATTTTTATTTAGTGTTACAAAAATCAACCCAACTTGGGCAATTTGATCGGTTGACCCGTAAATCAGATCCTTAATTAATCATGTTTAGGTATTAAATTGATTGTGCACTTGATCTGGTATAAAATTGATAAACCGATCCTGAATCAAATTTAACCAGCATCAGTTTTTCAAAAAAAAAAATTGGTTTTGTAGAATTTTGCATAAAATATATGAAAAATACCACTAATGAAATTTGAACCTGGATCATATGAATTATAAACTATAGCACTTATAACTAGACCAACTCTAATTATTAATTAGAATGTTTTTAATTTTTATATTTATTATATTTTATTATATGTATTTAATTCATTCAGTTAAACTAATAATTCACTAGTTATAACTCAGTACTTCGACTAAGTTGATGACTCACATGTTCGAATTTGATAACGCTGTTTTTAATCATATTATGTAGACCCACTCCCTGTCTGAGTACCCGCAACTTGACCTAAAGGAGTGATTAATGTCATTGAATAAAAAACAATAAAAAATATTCAGTTGTCTTCCTACCATTCTCACTCGAGGCAACCAACCATAGGCCTGTTATTGGACATTGTTGCTAAATCGGGAATAAGAGTCATGGTTAAATTAAAGGCTGCATTATACAACACAAATAGAGTATGTTCAAGGAAACGATTGTGTTATTTATACGCCTAACATTCTTCTTATACATCTCTCGCCAAATATATACATAATTGTTCTAGATCGGTCACACAAGACGAGCCAATTAAACCAGCTTCTAATGCCTATATGAGGGGTTGCATCCTTTAAGGTAAGGCAATTATAATTTCATCACAGTGAATCTTACTTCTCATGCACAAAGTGATGATACTTGTCCACATCTAATAGGGCCTATAAGGGCAAAATAGTTATGGTTCTCTATCACTTTTTTTTTTTTTGGTAATCATGGTTCTCTATCACTTATTAAGAAATAAAAAAAACTTTTAATATATTCATATAGGCAATCTCACTTGCTGAGATCTTGATTTCTCTTACATAAGAAATAAAGTCAGATTTCTATTGAAATTTAATCAAATATAATTAAATTATAAAATAATTTCAATTGATTAAATATATGCCTTTTGTTTTTTCTTCAAGTCATACTTATTACGTAGCCAATCTCCAACACATATTAAAGCTTGGATGGTATCTTTAGCCAAGCTAGAACGATAAGCATCAATAACTCTTTCTCCAGCACTAAATGTTGATTTTAATACTACTTTAGAGATTGATACAAATCTTATGCCCCTCTGAAAGGTGGTATTGGTGAGGATTGAAGTCCTTCCATCACATACTCAGCTCACATGCACCAACTGAGCTATCCTCATTTGGTACTACTACGAATAATATTATTTTATTTTATTTAAAATAAATAATATGATATAGGTCAGTCTGTAGGCTTATAGGCTCGACATGTAAAAAAAGAGAGCATATGACTTGCTTCTAAACATGCTTTTTTAAGGGTGCGCATGACAACCTTCCACGAATCAATTCTTTTTTAATTTCTGTTCTCGGGAACAAAAATGGATAGAAAACTTGTTTGGTAAAATCGGTTTATTTTTTGTTCCCGGGATGAACCGATTTAATTTTTGTGCTGGGGAACAGAAAAAAGAATCAAAAAATTTCTGCTTTTTTGTTCCCTAGCACAAAATGAGAAACACTTGTCTATCTCAATTACTCTCCACCATCACCATTATCTCGACACAACCACCACTATCAATGTCGTCGCACCACCAATGTCGTTGTCACCACCACCACGATTCCACCGCCACCATCACCACCACCACCACCATATCACCACAACCACCACCATGCCACCACGACCACTACCACCACCGCCGCTGCCACTATTGCTGCAGCCATTGCCGTCACCATCAACACCGCCGCCACCACCACCAACCACCACCACCACCACCACAATCGCCACCAACTACCACCACCGTCGTCGCAGCCACCGACGCTGCCACAAACCGCCACCAACTACCACCACCGTCGTCGCATCCACCGCCACCACCACCATGTCATTACCACCACCATGCCACCACTACCACGCCACCAGCCCACCACTACCACCGCCATCGTCGCCACTATTGCTGTCGCCGCCACCAACCATCATCGCCACTAACTACCACCATCGTCGTCGCAGCCACCGCCATCACCGCCATGTCATTATCACCACCGCTGTTGCCACCATCATCACCACAGCCACTGTCGTAACCACCACCACCATCGCCATCACTACTGCCACCGCCACCATCACTATTGTTGCAGCCACCGCCGTCACCATCACCACCATGTCAGCGTCGCCATCGCCACCACCGCCACCAACTACCACCACCGTCGTCGCACCCACAGCCACCACCACCGCTGCCACCACCACCATCAACACAGCCACTGTCGTCACCACCACCACCATTCCACAGCCACCATCATCGCAGCCACTACCGTAACCACCATCACCATTGCCACCGCCACCAACTACCACCACCGTCGTCGCAGTCATTGCTATCTCCAGCACCACCATGTCATTACAACCACCATCGTCGCAGCAATTGTCGTCACCATTACCACCATGCCACCGCCACGCCACCGCCACGCCACCAACAGCCGCCACCAACAGCCGCCACCAACAGCCGCCACCATCGTCGCAGCCACTATCGTCACCACCACCACCAGCGTTGTAGATACAATGTATGTTTTGATGATAACAAAGTGGCAACAACAAAAAGGCAAGATCATTTGACCAAGAGCAACAAGGAATAATTAGAAGAGAAATAACAAGATCAAAGACAACTAACCATAGATAACATCTAAGATAAGCTCAATATCATAACCATGGTGAAAAATGATCAAAACCAACAAAGTGCCAAGCATTGTCATATTCAACAAGTCAAAGTATCAAGTTCAAGAAAAGATCCAAGACACAAGAAATGAAGCTAAGTCTAAAATCATATTTAGAATATATCTTTAGGACTTAGAATATATGTGAGGGTATATGATAGATTGCATTGCATGAGCTCAAAGTTTTTCTCAAAGTAAATGTGTTTTTCAAATTGCATAATCATAACCTTTATATACTTTAAAGAAATTTGAAAAATTCATGGAAAAGATCCTTGAAATTTTTGTAACTTCAAAACATATTTATCAAGTCAAGATCTTTCACAAAAAGTAGTTGGAAGCAAGCTAGAACACTTTTGAACTTTAAATTTGTTGTTTAATTTCGCTGCTTCCTTCCATACAATTTTTCGTATCTAAGATGACGGATTTGGATCTTGTATTCTTCATAAAAGTTGTAGATCTCTCTTTTATCTTTCCAACGAGACCAAGATCACATCAATCCGATGAATATAACTCAAATTATAGCTAAAATACCAAACAGTGTTCTTATTGTCAAGTTGAGAATCGATTACCACTGCAACAGATTCCAACGACTATAAAACAGCTAATTTTTCAAAAGTGATCCCAACGGCTACAAAACTGCTATAAAATGGCTAGTTTTTCAAATGAGATCCCAACGGCTATAAACGGATAGTTTCCCAACGACTATAAACGGCTAGTTTTTCAACGGCTATAAACGGCTAGTTTTCAATGAAAACACTATATATGCATTCCCAATGACTCAAAAACATTGGGGCATCATTCCTACACATATTAAGCATACTTTGAGAGCTTCTACACTATCACTTACATATTCTTTCATATCTTTCAAAGATCAAACATATTTGAGCTCATATCTTGAAAATTCATATACCCATAGTGCTTCAAGTTGTATATCCACATTTTGAGAGTGTATATTCATTTCTAAATATTTCTCTCCTTGTATTCTTGAGTTGAAAGGGTTGTGAGACCCATTGTTTGAGAGGTGGCCAAATACCTAAGTAAATTTAGAGTGAATTGAAGGTTACCAAGTACCCGTAAACTTGGAGATTGTAAGGTATCCAAGAACCTGAAGTCTTGAACGATTGTAAAGGTTTGTCAAACACCCGTGAAGCTTGACCATTAGTGAAAGAGTTGATCAAGCGGCTTCAGTCTGGACGTAGGTCACAAGTGGCGGTGACCGAACCAGGATATATTGTGTTTGCAATTCTCTAAACTCTAAACTCTTTATTTTTAGCACTTTAATTGCTTCTCTGATATCTTGTATGTGCTAGTATAAGTTTTTTAATTGTGATATATTATATATTATGGATTGTCTGAATATATTGATTAGCTTTCTACATATCAAAGTTTGCTTGAAATGATTATTCAGAAACTAGAAGGGGGCTTTTGTGAAAATCTTGTAATACTCAATTCACCCCCTCTTGAGTATGGAAGCCACATTCCTAACAAGTGGTATCAAAGCTTAGTGCTCAATTAGAGGTTTAACCACCTAGAGTTAAAGATCCTTGTTGGGGCTTCAAATATAATTTAATTTTAAATTAAACAAAAAAATGCAAGGCTTTGAATGTGATAAACCACAATTATTTGATGTTGAGGATTTTGAATATTGGGTAAAAAGAATGGAAGTTTTTATTCGATCAATTCATCTTTATATGTGGCATGTTATAGATAAAGATTTTTCATTGAAAATAGAAGAATGCATGAATGATTTCAATAAAAGATGTTTTGTCTTCAATCTTGAGGCTATGCAAATGCTTAGAAAAAGTGTATATGATGATGCATATG